ATATATATATATATATATATATATATATATATATATATATATATATATATAATATAACCATTTACTATTAAAATAAATACCGGTTCTTTGTAATTATAATAAGTTCACAAACTTCATAATAAACATTTTTAGTTTCTCGCATACTACCTACGTCGATTAAAGCGGCGATTTTCGGCATAAAATGTTGTACGCGTATTGCAGGTCTTAGATACTTAAGAAGTGGTTTACGGCAAAATGTCCTGCTGTGTCTCTCGTCTGCTAGTCTGCATATTGGATAACGCCAGCGGTTAAACCGAAAGCCGTATTTTCAACAAAATTAATGTTCTGCGGTCAAATAGGCTGATGTCACATGGATTAGCGCCTCGTCACATGGATTTAATTTTTTATCAGATAGAGAAAAAACACCATTTTATTGGAGAGTTTATAAAAACGGCGCAGGTCTGATTTTCGTTGAATTGTCTAAATTTTTGAAAATTTCAAATGATTACAATACATTTTCTTCTTACGAAGTAAAGTGTGAAAGTTAAATATAGCGCGAGTATCGTTAAATATCGTTAAAAACTGATTTATCGGCGTCTTCCTACAACTACAATATTGAAGATACAATTTTTTGTTGACTAGAAATTCGTTCTTCAAAATTAGATATTTAAATGAGCTCGCGTGATTTTCAAAATGTGTTTGGTTTTTGTGGAATTTTGATTGAAATAAAGTGAATTTTAAATCGATTGTGTAAAAAACAGCTTCGTTAAAAAATAATTTTGAATGAAAATAACGCTTAATGCACTGAATAACATGGCATTAATGTTATTTTGCTGTAATCATGTAATTTTCCAACGTACATGCTGTTGTAGCACAACTACTTACTTGTACGAGAGGTTATAGAAATTGTGAGCGAAGTGCTTGCATGCAGGCTGTCCTCTATGGCTAACTGCTCTCTATGACTAACTGCTCTCTATGGAGGAGGGGGATGATCATTTCCAAAAAAGATATATCCGACGCTTTCGGCGTTTCAGAGGTTGAACGTTGGCGAACGAGCCGAGTTGAAAGGCTGCATTTCGGGGCTTCGAGGCTTTCGACAAAGGAGCAGCGGCGGCTGCACCCAGTTGTGGTTGCTAGTCCAGCCTCGCAACTCCGCCATTCAAACACACAATCAAACTCACAATTCATATGTGGAAGCCTTGCAACATTGGTACACGCATTAAACAATTAAACACATTCGCGTGGACATGTTTGAACGCTTGTTAACATTTTTCGATAGTTTTATTTTAGGAAATCGGCTCATACAGGTGGATGGTGACTGATTTCGAATTATGATTCCGCACAAACGTTTTGTATAACTATGGCTGAAACATGCGAGTATATGGTCTCTCTATATTGAATATTGTTGCAATTAATGTAGGTCCCAATTTTTCTTTAATATTTTTAATTACGCTGTTAAATCCATCACAGATCCAGTCCTCTCCATTTAAGGTTGTCACCTCACTTCCCATTAAATAGAAGAACATGGACTGGATTTTTGTTTAGAGAGGTCGAGGACTGACTCCCCCAGTGGAACATTGAGATAGAGATTCAAACGCAGTGGCAGATGGTGTTCCAAGAAGTGGGGGTTGGTTGCAGCCCTATCGAATGACGGAAATGTAATTTCCAAACTTCAGAACTTCCAAACTTCATGTAATAAATTCATATGAATTAATTAAAAATAAGTTTAATTGAAGACTATTCAAACATTACTTCTATAATTTTATGCGTAGTGTCTGTATCAGGTACGTTCACTTCCAGCGCATATGGTTCTTACTTTGATTTTCAGTGAGCAGTCAGGTTTTTGTATTAGTTCTGCATTGACACAATTGTCGATAATAGAATTATTGCTGTTACTAGTGGTGATGGTAACGAAATAAAATTATTGTATTCGAAAAGTTCACTACGTACCATGGTATATATTGCAATAATGAACACAGTATTCACGACGATGCTCGCAGAGTAATTCGGAATAACTGCAGGTTTGGAAGATCATTGCATCCACCGCGTGCAGTAGAGAAAAAGAAAGAGGGATTTTCCTTATAGGGCGGTTCCACGCTCGTGGGTGATATCTAGTTGGGGAAAATCTTCGCAAGCCGAAGTAGATTGGCGTCAGATCTCGCCATCTAGCTGGGAAAGATCACCGCCACTTCCAGCGATAAAAAACATGTCCTAGACTTATGGGACTAATGACCTTATCAATTGACGCACCCGGAATCCCCAAAGAAGGAGTGAGTGTGAGTGAGTGACTGAGAGAGAGTGTGAGTGAGTGACTGAGAGAGAGTGTGAGTGAGTGACTGACTGAGAGAGAGTGTGAGTGAGTGAGTGACTGAGAGTGAGTGTGAGTGAGTGAGTGACTGAGAGTGAGTGTGAGTGACTGACTGAGAGTGAGTGAGTGTGAGTGACTGACTGAGAGTGAGTGAGTGGATTGAGTGACTGACTGAGAGTGAGTGTGAGTGACTGACTGAGAGTGACGTGTGAGTGACTGACTGAGAGTGAGTGTGAGTGACTGACTGGATGTGAGAGTGAGTGTGAGTGACTGACTGAGGGTGAGTGTGTGTGACTGACTGAGAGTGAGAGGTGAGTGTGAGTGACTGACTGAGAGTGAGTGTGAGTGACTGATGAGAGAGTGAGTGTGAGTGACTGACTGAGAGTGAGTGTGAGTGACTGACTGAGAGTGAGTGTGAGTGACTGACTGGAGAGTGAGTGTGAGTGACGGAGACTGAGAGTGAGTGTGAGTGAAGACTGACTGAGAGTGAGTGTGAGTGAGTGACTGACTGAGAGTGAGTGTGAGTGAGTGACTGACTGAGAGTGAGTGTGAGTGACTGACCTGAGAAGTGAGTGTGAGTGACTGAACTGAGAGTGAGTGTGAGTGACTGACTGAGAGTGAGTGTGAGTGACTGACTGAGAGTGAGTGAGTGTGGGTGAGTGAGTGACTGACTGACTGAGAGTGAGTGAGTGTGAGTGAGTGAGTGAGTGACTGACTAACTGACTGAGAGTGAGTGTCGTGAGTGAGTGAGTGACTGTCTGACTGACTGAGAGTGAGTGTCGTGAGTGAGTGACTCACTGACTGACTGAGAGTGAGTGTCGTGAGTGATTGAGAGTGAGTGGGATGAGCTTATGGGAAGTGAAGGGCACTCACCTCTCTCGACGACGCCGACGAGGCGCAGGATGTTGGGGTGGCGGAAGGCGCTCATGGTCTCCACCTCGCGCAGGAAGTCCTGCTCGGCCTCCGCGCTCGCCGCGTCCTTCAGCACCTTCACCGCCACAGTCTCCATCACGCCGCCGCCCTCCGCCGCCAGCAGCTCCCCTGCACGCGCATGCGCGCACAAGCTTTTAGCCACGACGAGCAAGCACCGAAGAAGTGAACAGTTGGGTGTGGAGGGCGCCGGAGTTGTCGCATATTGTGCGCTCTATCACCGTATTAATAGCTACCAATACAAGACGTGTGATGAAAATTAGCAAAAAGCCCACGCATCTCGCAACTGTCGCTCAAGCCGCGTGTTTGGTCATAATTGACCGCGCTCTTGTTTCCTGTAATACCGCTCAGACTTCTAATTACGGCATTCAAGCCATGTGATTCATTTGTTATATAATTTGAGGTGAGAAAACATAATTTCGTAAAGGGTTTGGGCTTCCATATTTGGGTGTAACAGTTACGCTACTCCTTACATCTTACATGTATAATATACTTTTTGGGGTAGAACTCTTTGCAGCCCTTAATCTCTTTCTCTGGGCTTCTTTAATTTCTCCTATAAACAGGATTTTTAGAAAAAAAAGTATAGTTACTTTAATGATCTATTTGTATTTAAGCTAATGTTTTTGTTCTTGAAAGGAACTGGATATGCAAATTGCAAATATTATGAACGCCAATGTCTCTTGAAGAACATGGCGATTCATTTTCTGCCATTATTTTCAGTGAATGGAAATTAAATACATTCTGATGATTCATTTGGCACCGTGTTTTTAAAACCAATTTGTTTCCTTTCAGATTTAGCTTTTCATTCGTTCACTGAACGTATTATTCTAATTACCGATACATTTGAATAGTTCTACTTCTGTTGTGCAATATAATTGTTTCGATTATATGAAAGAATATGATGGTAGTTCGGGTTTAAAATTTGGTCCGTAACAAGGAATAGGAGTAAAAAAATTGCTTTTCTATGGAAGTGGCATTATTAGTTTTGTACAGAAAAAATATTACAGGGTATACATATTGTAATTTCACTGCAAAATTGAACTGCATAATATCATTATTGAACTGTAATTTAACACAAGCAACTGTACTTTTCCCGCTCGAAAACTTCTTTCGTAAGCTCTGCTAGGTTGTTTAGGGTATAGTTGCACGAAATTCTATTTATAGAGCAGCAAAATGGTCTAACCAAACGGGGTGTGAGTTCTAAGCAATCAACGAATTTTTGTTCCACGTGTTCATTTTAATAAAATCTGTAACTGAGGAACAGCGACCCCAAGCCCTTATGTTGTTGGATGCGAGGAGTAATTCTCCTTCAAGATTCGTTGAAGTCCGTCTGAGGGTAAGTGAATTCAGTGTCACTGCCTTTTATCCCTCTCGGTCAGGAGCGCAGCGCTCAGGAGCTCAGTTGAATCCGTGGTTCCCAGACGGTCACCCAAACGGGCACCCGCGACAACTAGATCTACATAACTTCCGTGACTTCACGGAACTTGGTTAAGAAGTTTGCGTACGGCGCCGGCAGGTTTCAGGTTGGAGGAGCGTGTTCATAGTCGTCGCTTACGCGATAAGAAAGCGCTAAAGGATTTCCTTACCTTTGAAGACCTTCCCGAAGCAGCCCTCGCCCAGCTCGTTCAGCAGGCGCAGGCGCGCGCGCGGCAGCGCGGGGGCGGGCAGCGCGTCGCCCACCGCCGCTAGCGCGGAGTACTGCGGGTTGGGCGTGTAGCGCTCGGCCTCCAGCAGCCCCTTGTTGAGGCTGAGCGGCGACGGCTGCAACGTGACCAACGGCGCTCGCTCCCTCCGCTCCGCCCCCGCCCCCGGGCCCAAGCCCAGGCCCAGGCCAAGGCCCAAGCCCTTGGCCCCGCACTCGCCCTCGCCCTCCGACTCCTCGTTCTCCTCCTCGCACGCCGACGCCTCGCCCTCCGGGTCGCCCTTCGCGACCTAAAATGATGGTGGCAGCGACCTCCAGGAAAAATGTTCCATTCGGTTAAACCATCATGCTTTAGCCACCACCGGTTGTTGAAAGTCCCCTGGATGCGGTCCACCACCATTTCAAGTCAGCTGCGCAAGTGTGTCTTCCCGTTGGGATGGTGGGAGGGTTGGGATAAAAATTGAGGATTGAAAGGCCTTGTAGACTTACGATTGGTAACAATCTTACCAGTAATGAAGGTGCTATTAACAAAGGTCAGTAACATTTAGATTTCAACAAAGCTATCCATAATGCTTTTATACATTATTGTAGGTTATGATTATCTATTGAATTTATAATTGATGGTCAATAATAAAAGATCCCTAAAATTCTACATATTTGCAATACATACTATTTAAAACATTATTTGTGAAAGCTATTAATAAATTCTGATTAACTTCGTGCATTGGTATGTACGCCTCTATAGACTTGTTCAATAACATATTTAATTGCATGTTTAACGCTTCAATTAAATGAGTATGGAATTCGTTTAATCTGATCTAGAAAAGAGAAACAGTATATGTAATGAAAGCAGAATTAAATGCGATGCAATTATTAATAAATTTTACGTGCAAAATAATTGAACGAATATTTGAATTTGTTTACTGTGAGTCAGGTGGATTGTACTTTTTAAGCAACAAATTTGGTTGTGAAGAATATAGATGTGATGAATCAAGGAATGTTTAGACAAGAAACAATGTGGGAATAGGTTTCAACTAAGAAGACACACTTATTGTTAAATCCATCACCATTTGTAATTTTGTTAACATGATTATCCTGTTTTTGTATTTCAAATGCAAAAATAAGAGCAATGAGAAATATCCGAAACCATAAAGTCTGGAAAATAATTGCTTCCCCATACTGCTTTCCTTCAAATTGCCCTTCACTACATTTGATTCTAGTGTCCAAAATATGGTGTCCGAATTATCATTTTGAAACTTTTAATTTTATTTACATTTTTGAAAACTTGCAGGCCCTACAGAACTATATTTTTTGCAGTTAGCTAAAAGTGCAATATCGCAAAGGTTATTAACAGCACATATATAAAAAATAGCAATTATTTTAATTTTAAGATTCTGCAAGGGAGCTGCAATATCGTAGAGTGAATTTATTATTGTTCAAAAAATCATGTAAGTTAAGCTTAGGTAAAATTAGACATTAGTTAACCTGCCCACATCTTCTATCTACAAAGATGAGCTTGCACAACGAAGAGAATAGAGAAATTAATAGTTATTTTTTTTAGAAATTTAGAAGTTTTTTGTCATAAAAAAGTAATCCTCTTTACTTCGTAATATTAGATACTTTCTTTGATTTGCAATTGATTGTCAATGGTTGATTGAGAATATAAGAAAAAAGTTCAATAGTACAAGAATATGTAGGTGAAAAACGGACAAGAATTTGTTACGAGGATTTGTAATTTCTACATTTGCCAAAGAAGAGCATTGACAAAACAACACTATATTGTATTTCAATATTATCCCACCACCAGTTTGTGAAAGACATTTTTCCACACCAACTATATTACAATAAAACCAGGTTGTAACTATTAGTTAGAATTGTTAAGAATACTTTACACGATACGATTTTTCTTCCAATAATTATGTACAGGTGGAGCTGAATGTGCATGTAGGTCACTCGTTTACAAAAAATGTATTACTAGTTACTTTTGATATTCGGGTCTCTGTTGGACATATTATGAATTTTGCCATCTCGCGTAACCCCGAACAGTTTGCAAAACGTGAATTTCACTTCAATTAGTTTGCTTTATTTCGTTCGGGCGGGCAATATTTTTTCCATATCAGGACACATATTTGGGAAACGTTTGTTTCCTGATCACTAGCGGTGCGTAAACAAACAACAGTGCCACTCGTCATGAATGAAATGGAATGCAAGTGTATACATTTAAAACGAAACAGTGCAGAAAAATAAGTACGCGCTGTAGAGCAATTACTCTTTGTACAAAGAAAACTTCATACGTTGTGTATATTAGAATTTGAATATGTGTGTGTGTGAGCGTGTGTGTGCGCGTGCGTATGTGTGTGAGAGAGTGTGAGGGGAGAGGGCATGAAGCATTGGCTAATGCTTCTACCGCTGGGTCCCGAGTTCGATTTCCTCTCAAATTATGAGGAATTTCTGAAAAAGAGAAATCACGACACAATTTCTCGGATTTCTCCATTTCCCCCTTCGTTTTGATTCATCATTATCGCAATCATCTATTCATTAGATCCTCATTCACGGACCTCAGTGACTTTAGTTGTTCAGGGGCCGCCAAACTCCAACGAAAATATATATGAATGAACGCACCAACTAAACGTGAAATGTGACCCAACTGCTGATAAATATTTTGGCGTATTATCTCCTTTAAAATACGAATATAAAATAACGCATATTATATAAAAGTACATTTCATATGTTCTGTAAAGTGGTGCAAATATAGTATTCCATCGATCTTTTTGCATTACATTGGTTTGAATACAGAATTGCAATCGGTGGTTGCGTGAGAGAATTAGTAAGAAAAGACTTGAGTTGGACTCAATGAATACAGTTTGTCAGTAGATGAATCCGCGTACAAGGAAATCGATTTTCAACCTTTAAAATACAGTCATAGAGTCTTAAACGGAGTGTGTGGATGACAAATTTTTGCTTTGCGGTGGCTTGAAGAACGAATACAAAAATAGGGGAAGTCCCAATGTCGATTACATCGCCCAGCAAACACGGCGGTTTGTTGTTATTGCAACTAATTTATATACGGTACTTTTGGGCTCTTTTTTTGGTATGATACCTTTGGGCTCTACATTTCAATGGAATATTTGATGGTTTCTTTTTTTCTGATAACTGTCTTGGTTAACCGGAACTCGAAGAATTGGGAGTCTTTTGTATTAATCAATAGAAGCCATTGGGAAAACTCTAAAATAGGCTGAAACTTTAAAAAATATGTGCCATATCTTAATACATATAGACGAATCATGATCTAATCGTGAGAATTATCTTAACAAATATTTATATATCAATCTATGTATTTGTAACGTAGGTCTGCGTTTAGAAACTTGCTTTAAATTGTACTAACTACTGTATTGTTTATCAAATTGGATGTAGATGAGTTTTCATTTGCTCTCATTGTTCGGTTTTAAATTTTGAACACTAAACATTACTGATATATTAAAATTAATAGAATGAGAGCATTTGCTTTTTCGTTTGTTTTTGCCTGTTGCAATCGGTTTATCGAAAGCAGTCGTTTCGTCGAGTGACAGGAGCAATCGTGTGAGTGAGATGTTAAAAAAATTCCGAAACGATGGGGCGACTTTTTCAAATCCGGAGGTTGAAAATTCTGTAATTTTCTTGACAGTCAGTTACTGTCATATTGTAACGGATTTCTACTAGTATATAGTGTTTCATATTAAATGTTGCAAACTTCGAGAGTACGTAGAAAGATCGAAGACTAATCTTCTTGCATTCACATGCAGGAAGAAATTTCTTAAAATGAAGTTACGCATTTATTTGCTCCTGAATTTTAGGCAGCTTTTCATGCGTTGGTGTTTGGCAGACGCAGTAGACATTTCAAGAATCTGTTGAACTTCAGTGTTGTCTAAAATGAGGGGAAAATGTGTGTAACTTCACTGTATGGAATGTATTACATGTTCATTGGGAATGGACATCTCCACATTCCCTAGAGACTTGTAACACGTACTCTGAGACATTCTGTGTATTAGTTCTATGTGAGGAAGAAAGATCGTAGCGCGCGGTTGTGCACTCACGCTGCAGGATCCGTGTCTGGGCTTGGCGGCGCCGCGGGCGAAGCAGCGCGAGTGCGGGTGCGCGCGGCGCCACAGGGCGACGGCGGCGGCCAACGCCAGCAGCAGCATGGCCACGCCCACGCCCATGGCCGGCAGCGCCCACTCCTGCTCCGCCCAGCGTTGTGCGGGCGGCACCACGCCCCTCGCGCCCGCGCCCGCGCCCGCGCCCACGCCCACACCCGCGCTCGGCCCGCGGACGCGGCCAGCGCGCTCGCAGCCCGGCGGCGGCGGCGGGTGGGGGCGCGGGCGGCGAAGGAGACGCTGGCGGCGGTGCGGGCGGCGCGAGGGCGGCGTGCGAGCGCGGAGGCACCGTCGGCTGCGGGCAGACGCGCGCCGTCGAGTGAGCGCCCTTCGGAGCGAAAGCATTCATCCCAAGGGCCCTCTGCCGTCTGCGGGGCGGTTGCACTAATGCTCTGTACTTCCTCACGCTCTAAATCCCCTCAGGCTCACGTCTCCCCGCTCTCTACCTCATCACGCCCTACATTATGACCTTCAATACCTCATCACGCTCGCTACCGCATCACGCCCTCTAGCGCATCACGCTCTCTAGCGCATCACGCTCTCTAGCGCATCACGCTCTCTAGCGCGTCACGCTTTCTTGCATTTCACGAACTATACCCCTTCGCGGGCTGTATCTTCTGCATTTTGCTCCTTTCGTGTTCTATCACTTCTAGTCCGTTTGTCTTTGAACGAGCGCTCTCTGACACTCGAAAGGCGACTTCACAATTGCATATCAATGAGAGCCCTCAAGGCGTTTGATTGAGCTCTTTTTATCGTTTCCCAAGCGATTCGGCACTGTGCATGCGCTTAAATGTGCTCTCTAATACATATTTTACCTCATGAAACATACTTCACAGACTTCTGTAGTGAGTTTTTGAGAAATGCATTCCCTGAGGGTGACAAATCTTGCGGCTGACTACATATAATGCAAAACTCTCCAGCTCGATATTCTATATAATTCTTTCAATAGTGTTTCTGGCAAAGAGTTTTTTGAATAACCATTAATTAATGAACATAGGGCTATATGCATTTATATGTATACATTTAAATAGGCATGTATAATTTATTTTTTCGAGAACTTTTGGGAATACAAAATGGGATATTAATATCTCGGGTTTTGCGAGAAAAATGTTAGCTTACCAGCGCTGTCGACGTTGCGTTAGCCAGCGTTGAATTGCCGTGACTCGGGGGGATAATGTGAAGAATTGGGCGAGGCGCCAAGGACTCTAGAACAAAGTAAAAAAAAATTACAAATCAGAAAACAATTTTGAAAATAAATGACTAATGACGCATGCGAAATTGATATTAAAAGTAGGTATTTCCCATTACGCCTGTTTTCAATGGGCTGTTATTTTATTAACCACTGCAAGTAAAGATGGGAATCATTGTGCGTCAAATCATGCAGTTTCTTGGTTCACGTATGAAGAGATTGATATGCACGTATGGTCGCGATGTGGACGACGTTCTCCCAAGAACAATGAAATTGTAATCTTTTGATTGAACATTGCGTCGTTGCGAGTGGTGTTAGGGAAGTATAACTATACGTACCTTGCGTAATATCATAACTAAGCAGTGAAGTGTAAATTACAAACAAATATTTTGGATTTTTTACATAAATATAAATTACATATACAGACACTTAACTAATATATCATTGCAGGAATTAGTAAAGAAATAATATCGTAACAACATAGGTGATTGTTGAATATGTTTATACTGAACGTTCCGAAGTTGCAGTGTATACTGCGTCATTTATCCCGTAATAAAAGAGTTATCAATTTAAAACATTGGAATTTAGTGATGAGCTGAACTATTGCAGAACTATTGTGAAATAACATTTCTAGAAATGTTTGAGTAAATGAAGCATTCTAAAATCTTTTATTTAATCATGTGTGCATGAAAGATACGAAATAAGGCAGACATACCTTGTACAAAATTACCAATGAACTCATAATCAAGAATTTTGAATAAAGATATTATACTTGTAAACATTAGAATTTTGATTAAAGATACCGAAATAATAGTCTTATAACATTTAATTTCTCTTAAAATTTATTTCGATTTTCTTTAATCTGCACGGTGAATGCGGCGAAGGAATCAAGACCTATCACGTACCGAGAGTTTGCGGAGACTCCAGAGAAAGATGAACTTGTGTCTACAAATCCAATTACCTGGGCTTACATCGAGAAGGGTTTCTGAAGCCGGGGATTTCAACTACCTTCCTGTCTCAGTATGTTCATGTCACACAAAATCGTTACCAATCCTCGCCCATCGTCTTCATAAGGGCATTCGATTTGAACTTTATTGTGTAGACGGTGTTCCGGTTATTGTAGATCACGGAGAGTTTCTCGCTGGATAATAGCTCGTATATAAGTGAGGTCAACGAACTTACCGAGTAGCAAGATATAATAATGAAAATTAATTATGAATGACCTTTATTCCCCTACTTTCTATACGACGTTCGAATTTTCGTAAATTTCGGTTCCATGTCAATTCGCAAATCCTTACATTCTTAAATATTTTAAAGTAGGCAGGAAATGAATATAAAATGTAATTTTGTTAGGTTGACACTTCTATAAGAAATACTTTCTCAATCTCAACTTTACACATGTTACACCACATGTGGCGAAGATGATGTTCCGTTTTTTGATTATCCAACTCGGTTATTTGATTCAAAGTTACGAGAAAAAATGTTACGAAAGAAAAGATTACCCTCTTTTGGAAGGAGGGTTGAAAGGAAACTATACTAGAGATCTTTCCAGGTGAAATATCTTACCAACGTAATTTCAATTAGATGGACAGTATGTTGCTAATGTCATTTGGCTGAGAAACTGTTAGTTTCTCCGCAGCTGAGGCTTGACGATTTCTCTTCTCCAATAACGTCCAGAAGGTAGTGCTAATGTCTGACAAAGCTCTGAGAATAGTTGTAAATATTGCGAAAGAAAACATCTACTTTTTAGAACACAACCAAGAAAAACCCAAATTTTTGAATTAAGCAAATTGGGCTGGAAATTATGGCAGACCTGTATCTCCTGCGGAACTCCCATCAACCGACGAAGTTGCATTTCACTCGCAGTTCACAGACGACGCTAATGGCCTGAGCCAACAACTTCGAGTCTTGGATCGATAAATTGATTAATGATTCCGAGCGCGCCAACTGCTAAGGTTATTAGTCCCACAAGTGTAGTGCATGTCTTTATCACAAGAGGTGGTGGTAATCTCCCGCTGACGAGATCCGACACCGACCTACATTCATTCGAGACTTGGAAATGCGCAGGAAGTCGTGAAGATATAAAGGCTACAACAAAATTAACAATTTACAAACAACAACTTTCTAATGGAATATTTGTTTTCTGAGGACACATCGTGATATACTGTTTTTTCTTATGCTACGAGAAACTTGCTGGTGTGTTTTTTCCCCACCTGAAATGACTTACCTTGCATTTGTATTATTCGTTTGGGCAACCACATACACAATCATCCCACTCACGTAGAGAAAACAATGTCGCGCCACGGCGGTGGGCCGGGTGGTGGAGAGAGCGGTCCGGCCGGGGGGGGGGGGATCGCCGCGGGGGGCTTCGCGCTGACGGATGGCAGCCGTCGCGCGCGCTACCGAGAAGCGTGTCCTCGTCCATCTCCCGCGCGCCTTCGCCCTCGCCCTCGCCTCCGCAACCACGCGCCCCTCCGCCGCCCCGCCCGCCCACTTGCCCACCGACGCGCGCACGCGCACGCACGCACTCACACTCGCACTCGCACTCGCACTCGCACTCGCACTCACACTCACACTCACACTCACACTTACACACACTCACACTTACACACACTCGCACTCACACTCGCACTCACACTCACACTCGCACTCACACTCACACTCACACTCACACTCACACTCACACTCACACTTACACACACACACACACACACACACACGGAGTCTCGACGCTCGTGCGCGCACAATCTCGCTTTCAGTCGCCGACTTTCGTCCCAGGTGGCTCAGCGCACCAACTAATGTTACTGCAGCGGCTCTGCCCGCAGATCCTACGGTGCATAGCTGGGAAGAATTCAACCGATGTCTGGAGGAGAATTTTAATTGTTCGCTTCCATGATCGGTAGTTTTCGGTGGGTTCTCCGATCAACATCAGGTGGATGCTGAAGCAACAAACGTGTAACAGATCGTGCGTGATTTTCCTTCCTCTTCCTTGTCCTATACACATTCCTTACACACATAGACACACACACATACACACACACACTGACCTGCACTACACTACTACACATGTCGCGAGACAGTCTAGAGTTCAGAGCTTTTCCCGGCTGGAGAGATCCCCAACTGCTGGGAGGTAACTGGTTGAGGAAAACTCCTCAAGTCGACATTTAGGTTGTAGCTGGATCTCGCCATGAGAAACACACACCCCCTATCGTGATAAAATTACTACACTTAAGAAACTAATGACCTAAAAAGTTGACGCAACCTGAATCGCTAATCAATACATCTATCAATAATTCGCTCTCCCTCTCGCTCTCGCCATCGACTCTTTTCCATTATAGTCACCATAAATTCTGAATTTATAAAATACTAAGAATAGAAAACTTGTCATTTTATAAGTAACACCTCTTTAGAATTTCTCAAATACGTATTTCAATCAAGAGGCAATGCAAAGTTCCTGTCCGTGGGTACACACTCACTTAAGCTTTGGGAAGCGATACGGCGACAAACAATTTTCACATGCTTATAATGAAATGTTCTATAATAATTAAGTCTAAGTAAAGTCACAAAATTGTATGTTTATACAGCTGATATATTTTACTATCATTCGTAACAACATTTTAATATTGCTGCAGCAAGTGTCACATCTGCAAAATTGTCGTTTTTGAGTTAAGTTAATATTTATGATTAATAAAAGTCTTTTTAATGCTTTAAAAGGACAACAAAATTGCTCACATGATGATATAGGTAAATCGCGTCTTTAGTTGCGAAATAAAAGATTTCGCCCGAGATATAACCGTTCTCATATAAAGTGACATTTTTGTGCCTTCATCTTAAGCACCGACAACCTACGTGTTTTCAATGTTTTC